GAGTTTTGCCCACTAGTAATTTACCAATAGGTTTTGTTTTGTTTCATGTTCCAAAGGTTGTACTACAGTATTTATGAAAATAATTGTGTACTGTACATATATGACGGGAGGTATTGGCAAAATCTCACACATAGTAAGTTAGTCTTGTATCTAGGAACATACTTCAACCTTTGGAACATGAAAAAACCTTTTTGGTGAATTACAGTAGTTTTTTTCTAAACATATTTGTGCACTGTACGTCCAGTAAAGCAGGTATTGGCAAAATTTCACCTGTAATAAGTCAGTCTTCTACAACCTACAACCTTTGGAACATGAAGAAAAAAAATACAGTAGCCTAATTTTTCATGAAAATATTTGTGTACTGTACAGACTGTAAGGGAGATGTTGGAAGTATTGTCTAAGGCGAGACATTGGCAAAATATATTTAGTCAGTTTGCCCACTAGGCATTTACTATAGTCCTGTGAACATTAATTTGAATGAATTATTGTATTTCGTTTTGTACTGTGAGGTGAATTTGCAGGCGGTTCCTAAAGCAGCCTAGTCAAATATGAAATGTGAAACTAACTTTACTGAGCTGATTAAGGTATTGATGACAGAACAAGACGACAGTTAAGACGACAGAACAAGACGACAGTTAGGACGACAGAACAGGACGACAGTTAGGACGACAGTAATTAAATGACAGAGAAAAAGCAGGCAGGACGACAGATTAAGACGACGTCAACACACAACATACACGCCTACATATACTGATTTACCTGAACAAGTAGGCAAAGACTGTAGACAAAGACAAATGTATAGTACAAAACACAAAGCAGTCGACTCATTTTTGACACAAATGGAACCTCATAAATAAGGACGACAGTAATTAAATGACAGAGAAAAAGCAGGCAGGACGACAGATTAAGACGACGTCAACACACAACATACACGCCTACATATACTGATTTACCTGAACAAGTAGGCAATGACTGTAGACAAAGACAAATGTATAGTACAAAACACAAAGCAGTCGACTCATTTTTGACACAAATGGAACCCCATATGAAATGCCTTCCTTTTACACTGAAAAGTTCACGCACACCCACATATGAAATCACTTGCATATGTATGTACACAACTAAAGTATACGTCTTTCTTATCTGAACTGTATACGTTAGTGAATTTTATTTTGTATGTATGCGCGAGTGTTTTATGGATGTGTATGCGCGCATCGAGTTTATATGTATGTGCCAGTGTTTATAGGTGTATATGCATGGATCAAGTTTATATGTATATGCGAGTATGTATAGGTGAGTCTGCATGCAGCGAGTTTATATGTATGTGCGTGTGGTGTTGTAGGTGTATATGCACGGATCGAGTTTATATATATATATAAAAGCGAGTGTCTATAGGTGTATGCATGCGTTAACTTTGTATGTATACGCAAGATATTCACAAGTGTATATGCATTCATTACTAACATAATATGTATTGGCATGGATTTCATATTAGTGTGCACGTGTATTTCATATATGTATTTTTGAACATCCAATAGTATACATGTATATGTGAGTAATTTATAGGTGTATATGCACGTGTTTTATGTATGTATTGATAAGCGAAGTTTGATTTAAATCCTACGTGGCGCCTCATACGAAAGCACGTTAGAGCTATCCCTCCTGGACCTCGAGACACCAATGTAACAGATTAATCATTTATTGAAGGGAAGATGGGAAACAAGAGAAGAATCTCTCATTGCTCACAGAGAAATAGTGTTACGATACCAAGATTTCAGTATTAGGTTACCTGTGACATTTAACCTAAACCTCATTTTCAACAAGTTAAAAAAATAAAATTAATTAATTATACATTTAAAAAAAGTAGCCTAAATACTTTTGAATTTAGTAATACAAAATCAGCAACACCGTGAGAAACGGTGAAGACAACAAAAGAAGACAACATTTTGGTGCCTTCTGACCTGAGGGAAATATTTTTAGATATTTTATATATTTGCTTGTTTCCTGTCATTTGCATCAGCCAATATTAAAATGAAATGAAAACTAAAATGAAAATCCTGATGAAATGTCCAATATACGGCAAGGAAAGAAAGATACTGATTGATGACCTCAAGAAAGGTAAAAAAAGAAACTTATAAACATATTGGGGATAAAAACGTTACGTTTTTGATGCGGTATTTAAAGGACACGGGATTATGTAATAGAATACAGAGAATTCAAGGGTAGTTTATGGTTCGGACCTACACTCCTAATCAGTAGGTGGCGGTAATGCACCTAAAAGTTGTATGCCATCCGCCATTAAACACCAAGAAGAAGAAGTAGTAGAAGAAAATAACGGCGAAAAACATGAAAATTAAGCATGTCTTAACATTGCTCTCATTACTCGTGTATGGTAAGACATTTTTTGTTACAGATGAGCTATGATTGAAGCTGCAGTCCAGTTGATTCCAAGGCGTACAGGATATTAGAAAAAGAAGATTGTTCCGTGGTGGACAGAGGAATGTGGAAGAGTAGTTCAAGAGAAACAAAGTTTTTAAAAGGCTTAAAATAACTCTTAAATTTGGGGACTTAATTCGGTACAGAAAGGCGCAAGCATGTGTTAGAAGAACAGTTAAAACAGCAAAAAGAGAATATTGGAGAATGTTTTGTAATACAGTGGGCAGAGAAGTGGATACAGATAAGGTCTGGGGTATGGTGAGGGAAATGAATGGAGAGAGTATAGATATCCAACATTAACAATTAACGCCAGTGTCTCCCCTACCATTGTTTTTGAAAGAATTATAAAAATGGCCTATATTCCAAGAAAAGAAAAAAAGACGCACGAGCTCTATGTATTAACTTCAGCGCAGTGTTGCCAGCTTGGCGACTTTGTCTCTAGATTTAGCGACTTTTCAGACCCCTCTAGCGACTTTTTTCCAAAAAATGCGCCTAGCGGCAAATCTAGCATCTTCTGGGACAAACCTTATTGTATTTGCTGCATCAAAGTTTCTATTTTCTGTCATACAGGGTATCTGAGTTGTTGATATCTATCTCCACTAGATGGCGCGTGTGTACTTCAGCACTTATTTACTTAAGCTACTTTTGATTAGCTTAATTTGTATAATTTTATATTTTGGTTATTTTATAATGTTTACTGTGATTTTTTTTTTCTATATTCAGCTGTAGTTTATTTGAGCAAGATTGAATTATTCTAAGATTTTTTTGGGGTTATATTTTATTCCCATCGTGCTGTTGTATGTCACTTCCATGTCATCCGCATGAAGAGATGGAACGATGTAATCTTCGCAAATTTAAAAGGTGTTTCTCTATAATTATAAGCCATCTAATCAAGAAACTTGAAGATATAATCCCCACTCTTAGCTCACGAGCGCGAGGTCTCTTTCTCTGCATCTGATCTGTTTAAAGCAGCGCTTTCAGTTAAAAAGATATTTTGTCGCTTTAACTCTATTTTACAGGCAAATATAGCCGAAATCACAGCACATCCATTGTCTATATCTGATGTGTATTTGATTTCATTAGACAACTGATTATGAATCAGGATTTTTGTGCAGATTAACATCTAAGGGGGAGCTGGTTTCATATTCATCCCGTTGTCTGACAACAGAAACAGACAAATATAACAGTGAAAACAGTTTTACTGAGAATTAGGCTGCATTAAAATACAGTTTGTGAGCACAGGCTTTAGCTACTTTCAGTTGAAAGAAGTTGGCAAGACTGCTTTAGCGGTAAAAATGTCGAAGAGGAATGGAGAAGGTGACAATCCTAAGAAGGCAAAAATTATTTTTTATTTCTTAAAAGCAACACAATCCGGAGAAACTACTCCAGCAAAGCCAGCCTCTGTGGAGATGCCACCTGACGATAGCAATCCAAATACAAGCTCTTTGCAACTTTACAAGGAGGGAGTAAGAACCGGTGCTATTACCAAAAGCAAGCACTGGACTTCAGGGTGGGATCCTGCCTGGCGGGAAGACCCAGAATACAAGTCATGGCTTTATAAAACAAGCATAGGTAAGTTGTGCGATTTACATGTTACTAGTTTTCTTCATTAATAATTTAAGCTCCTGCTTTCAAGTGCTCCTGGGAAGTTCGTATTTATGAGGTGGGAAGTTGTTTAGGACTGCAGATTTTTTTTTTCTTCTTCAGGTTTGTTCGGTGTTGATACATATGGAGGGTCAATGTCTGTGATGGAAGGAGATTCAGTCACTCTACAGACTGGCATTAAAACAAATCAACCAGAAATTATTATATGGTATTTTAATGACAATCTAATAGCTGTAATCACTGGAGATCTCAGTTATGTCTGTACAGATGTTCAGTGTGAAGATGGTGCTGGGAGATTCAGAGACAGACTGAAGCTGGATCTTCAGACTGGATCTCTGACCATCATGAACATCAGAACCACAGACTCTGGAGTTTATCATCTAGAGATCAACAGCAGAAGAGGCACAATCAGTGCAAAGATCTTCATTGTTGCTGTATCTGGTGAGTCAATTATGTATAAAAGCAAATTTTGTTAATGTGTTCAGTGATGTTTTTTTCTCTTTATCTGTAATTCACAAAGTATATAGATCATGTTTTTTGCAAGTGCATTTACTATTTAATTTGGAATTTGTCAATGTAACTAGCCTATACGTTTAGTTAAGTATGATTTCGAAGTTGAATTTTTATTATTTTTTATTTTTTTAGGATTTGTGTCGCTTGATGTTTTAAGACATTAATATATAATGATTTAAAAAAACACAATAAGCAGGCCCTACATTGTTTAAAAGCAAGCCTTGTACTGTGCGTTCTCTTAATTAATTACACAAAAATACAGCAAGTTTCTTAAACTGTATTTCTAGAAAATTTTGCTTAAATTTTAGATTACACTTTGACTTCGACATATCTAAATCATTTACCGAATGAAAACTAAGTTATCTAATTAGTGTACATGTTGTTTTTATAATTTTTTCTTTGTGGATTTGCTTGTTCACGTGACAAGGACCAGGGGGATAGATTTAATGCTCAAATGGTGCATATGTATATTCAAAGCAATTATTTTAGTTATGTCTTGATTTATTCAGATGCATAAAAAGATATTGAAAACAGTAGGCGTGGCATACACCGTAATAGATTTTAATGTCAAAGTTAACAAAATCATTTCAGATAATCTATCAGTATACACTGGAGAAATGATCGCAATTTTATTGGCATTGCAGTGGGTTGAGGAAAATAGACCATTGAGGGTATTTATGTGCTGACTCAAGTTCATCATTAATGACACTAGAAAGTGGTCATACTGAGAGTAGATCTGATGTACTGATCGAGATTCTTCAGACATTATACAGGATTCAGATGATGGGTTTAAAGGTATCTTTCTGTTGGATACCAGCTCATATAGGAATAAAAGGAAATGAATTGGCAGATGAATGTGCTAAGGAAGCCACAGGAAAATCAGATATAGACATGAAAGTAAATTATTGTAAGACTGAAATGAAGTTTTTAATTAAACAACATGTGAAAAATAGATGGCAGAAACGATGGGAAAAAGAAAGAACAGGAAGATGGCTTTATAACATTCAAAGAAATGTTGGTAAAGGTAGAATAACAAGGAGAAATAGAAAGGAAGAATCAATTATATCTAGACTTAGATTTGGACATACAGCACTTAACAGTACCTTGAGTAAAATAGGGAAACATCAGACAGGAAAATGTGAACATTGTAATCAAGAGGAAACTGGAACACGTTATAATGAAATGTCCTAAGTATAATAATGAAAGGAGGATATTGGTTTTTAATTTTAAAAGAATTAAGATGAAGTTTGACTTGACAAACATATTGCAAAGGAACTCATATGATGAATGTAGTATTACTTAGCACAGTATTACTGTCGGTCATCTATAAGAGCGAACGTTACAGGTCTTTGCTTAGTTTAGCAATTCAGTTCGGTTTATAATCAACAGAAATTCATTTCTTGTTTGTTTTTTTGCTTGACCATTGTAAGACATTGAATGAATGAATAAAAAGGAGGCCCCTGTAAATGCTCGAGGTCTAGTGATTTGATATAAAACACCAAGTAACAATAACATGGCCTCATATAGGGCTGGACAATAATTCAATATCAATATGTATTGTGATATAATTTTTTTCAATAACGGTGATATGATTTTTAAACACATTTCCGATATTTCGATATACATTACCAGTTTACCATACATTGATTTATTTGTGGCGTTTGACTTCATTGAATAAACATGAGCACTGCACGTTTCAAAATCAAAACACGGCGCTGGTGTTTTATATGAATGTATCTCTGAAAGGAATTGACTGTCTTCAGAAAAGTTTTGATGGCATTTTCATTTGATCTGATAAAGTAGCGTTCATGAGTGGAGCTGCTTTGATTACAGCCGTTATCAGGGAAACCGCTAGTTTTATCACTCTAAAAGCGCCTCCTGCTGGCAGACAATGAGTTTGCATTTTCAGTAAGCCCGTCTCCAGCAACATTTCCAGTTTTTGTTGTTGTAAAAAAAAAAATTCTGCAGCGACTTGGAGCACTTTTCATACCCTTTTTTCTTGCTGAAGCACATTTGTTTCAATCTATAAGAATAATCAGCCTACACTACCAGTCAAAAGTTTTTGAACAGTAAGATTTTTAATGTTTTTTT